GTCTGGGGAAGGGAGAAGCAGACCTGAGTTTTAGATATGCAAAGTGTCAGTGGCCCACCTGACAAGCAATTGGGGCTGTTGTGCAGACTGAGCTCAGGGGAAAACGTGGAGAGAAATTAAGTCTTTGGGGAGTGGGGAGGTGTGGGGGTGGTTGGGGGTGTGTGTGTGTGCGGGATGCGGGGTGGATGAGGAGCTGATACCAAGGGCTCAAGTAGAAAGCAAATGTTTTGAGACTGATGAGGGCAACAAATGTACAATGTGCTTGACACAATGGCTGGCTGGCTGGATTGGGATAGGAGTTGTACGAACCCTCAGTAAAATGATTAAAGAAAAACAGAAGAAAAATTTAATCTTCGCAACATCCCTGTGATCTAAGTAGCCGTTTTCAGACTTCAAGAGTCAGGCTCCAGGAGCCCATGCTCTGTCCAGCGGCTGGGTCGTGACCGCTGGTGCTGGCCGGGAAGTGAAGATGGTGGTGATCACCGGGTGGTTGCTGTTCGTTGCTGTCAAGTGCGTTTTGAGTCCGGTGACCCCGCGTGTGCAGAGTAGAACTGCCCATCAGGTTTTGGTGGCTGTGACAGGAAATAGATCGCCAGGCCTGTCTTCAGAGGCACATCTGGTTGGGTGTGAGCCAGGAGCCCAGCGCTCAACCTTTTGTGCTCTCTCAGGGACTCCTGGGGCTCTGTTGATTGGCCCCACTGTGGACCTCTGCTAGCTGCTTTACAAGGATTTGCTCTAAAGTCCACAGCAGGATCCTCTTTAAGAGGAAACCCACATTTCCAGGCTTCTGCTCACACAGCCCTGGTTGTGTAATGATTACGAGTTGGACTATTAACTGCAAGGTCAGCACCACCAGCTGCTCTTCCTTGAGAGAAAGACGGGCTTTCTACTCCCATAGAGAGTCCCAGTGTCAGAAAGCCACAGGGCCAGTGCTACCCTGCCCTACAGGGTTACTGTGAGTCAGCACTGACTCGGTGGCAGTGAGTTGTATTGGTAAAAATCTGTTGTTGCTTTTTTGACACAATTAATAAACATAATCACAAATACATGGTTTTCTTTTAGTCTAGAGATGATCCTCCTGAGTTTTTGAAACATTCATTATTGGAATCGGACAGTGCTTTTATTGGTGAGTTTGTGTATTTTCATTTACTGATGCTGTTTGTTTAAATATTAAGCAATCTCTCTCTCTCTACATAAGTATCCTTTTCCATATAGCAAAATCATCGGGATCCTGTTTGTGGTGCAAGTTAGTGAAAGGGGGAAGACCCTGTTTTATCGCCTATCTTCATGAATCGTTGTCAAACAGACCTTGCGAAATTATTTTCCAACTCAGAATAACTAAAAGGCTGTAGGCTGTAGGAGTTAGCAATAGTTCCCTCAAACACTCACACACAGGTACTCAAAGCCATTGTATTTACAATACTAACCCAAACCTGCAGGTCAACCTAGATGTCTTCCCCAAGTGACTGGGTAGGCAGCCTGTGCTATGCCCATGCCTTGGAATACTGCTCAGCAACCAAAAGAACACAGTACTGATGCACACCACAGTGGGGAGGGCTCCGTCTGTGCTGAGCAAAGGCACTCAACCCCGAAAAAACACCCTCTGTATGTGATTCGACTTGTGTGACACTGGAAAAGACAGCATTTTAGAAAGTGAGGACAGATTGATGGTTGATAGCGTTTGGGTGGCATAGTGGATACACGTTGGGCTGCGATCTGATGGGTCAGCAGTTCAAAACCAACAGCAACTCCAGGGAGAAAGAGGGACCGTCTACTCCTGCAAACGGTTACAGTTACAGTCTGAGAAACTCATGGGGCAGTTCTACCTGTCCTGTCGGGTCGCTGTGAGGGATGGCAGTGACCAGATTTTTATTTTATTTTTTTGAGCATCTAGGAATGAGGATAGGTGGGTATGATTCTAGAAGGGCAACATGGGGAGTCCTAACAGTTTTGGAACTGTCTGATTTTGACTATGATAGTGGGTACGAGAATGTAAACAGATGATGAATCGGTGTAGCGTTGATGCTACATAAAGGAGGAAGAGTTAAAGTCTGAAAAACTTCCTGTGGTGAATTAGAATATTATTATATATACCCTTACTATTAACACAGCAGAAGCCTTTTCTGATTTGGCTCATTCTTTTCCTTTATGACCGTCATACTGTAGTTAACACCACAGTGGATTATGTGCTGGCCTGCTAACCTCAAGTTCAGCAGTTTGAAATCAGCTGCTCGATGGGAGAAAGATGGGGCTTTCTACTCCCATAAAGAATGAACAGTAAGACCAGAGGATGTACATCAGTACAGATAGCAGCTGGAAACAGGGAATCCAGGACAGATGATCCCTTCAGGACCAGTGCTGAGAGTGGCGATACTGGGAGGGTGGGGTGGAAAGGGGGAACCAATGATAAGGATCTACATATAACCTCCTCACTGGGGGATGGACAATGTAAAAGTGAGTGAAGGGCGGCATCGGTCAGTGTAAGACATGAAAAAAATTGTAAATTACCAACCA